TTAGGAAACAAAACTTCCAGAACACGGCCACACAGCCCGGAAGACCCACACCAGCCATGCCATAGAATCATTTGCCACTTGTAAAAGAAAGGGAATATCAATTTTTACAATATCCAGTTGGAATAATATCAATATTAGCTTAATGGTCTTTGAAAAATATGGTTAAATGGCCTCTGTAGTACTTATGTTGTAAGGTCAGTATGGTTAGAATAAGGATGGTTAGCATAATCAACTCTCGATGCAATTAGCATTTTTAATGAAAAATCTAACATGCATCTTTGAATATCTAAAAATGGCTTTCCTTTAAAATGTTTGAATGACTCTGGATGATAAATCTAGTTCTGGTCTTACTTTTCTTGATAATATTAATACCGCCAAAATGAATAGTCCACATTTTTATTTTTACAATTATTTTTAATGTTGCAAAGAATTGCTAACTTCATTAGTAATTCTAGAACCATATTTTCATTTGAATCAAGAATATAGTTACTTGGGAGAAAAGTATGAATTAGATTTACCATATTTATTTTGGGCTTATTTACATAGTAGGCACCAAAAAGATGGGGGAAATATGCAGGTCTATTTTCCAGAGTTTGTAATTTTAAACTTTCAGAAAAGGAATGGTTTAATTGTAAAAGATGATTTTATAGTACTCCTTAAAATCCCATATAGTTTATTTTATATTTTTTTAGAACTTTAAACACCCCCCATCACCCAGACCTCTTTCAATCTATTTTTTTTTTTATTTTTAACACTCCTAATTTTTTTTCTGTGTTTATAAATGCAATCTGCCACATTTTGTATCCAATTCAATGCTCCCATAGGCATTCCAGTGATTTTACGTGTGGTGGACCATCTGAGTAAAACTCAGGCTGAAACATAGGGCACAATGGCTGAAAATAATTTGTAAGATATGTAGGCTTTGGTTCTTCTTAGTGACATAGCGCAGTGTATTTCAAAAAGGGTTAATCGTTCTCTCCCCCATCCTCTCTCAAGCCAAATGCAGAAAATTCTTTTTTATTGAGTAAATAATTATGTTTTTGTGTCGGTCAGTTGCAGATCAAAATTAGATCAACTAGAATGACAGATGAAGAAATTACAGTACCTTTTGATACTGCACGGCACGGTTTAAAACAAAATCGATATTCCACATTCTCTATTAAATAACTTTTAGGAAGGAGTTTCCTCTGCACATAGGAATCGATCTTTGGATTTGCGTGCTCAGACAAAGAAAACAGTTGTGTATCTGCTGCTTTGATGGCTTTGCTCAGCAAAGAAAGAAGAGACGTCATTAATGTCCTATCCTCTCCAATTCCCCCTTTCCCTCCTTTCATTCAGTGATTTTCTCAGAATGTGTTCCATTGTGGATGGCCATTACTCAGTATGACAGGAGACGTCTCTGCCTGCATAACTGAGAATTTGGTCTGTGCCCTCTCCTTTATCAGAGGAGAGCCGAGGTCTTCCTACCTAAAAGCGTGGAATCTTGTTCCCCGCCCTGTAGCAGTGCTTGGCTGCATGGACAATATTCTGAAACTTTTAAAGCTGTGTTACATGATTCCTTAGACAGCATCAAGACCTTTTCTTATGCTGTGAATCCTTCAGCTCCACACTCCATAGTTTATAGTATTATGGCCTGATCACAGAGAAAGAGCTTCTTGGGGCATTCTTTGTGACAGTAATGGAAATCTCCTTTTCATTACCAGAAGATAAAGGTGTGTTACTTACATTGCTTTCATAGAATAATTTCAGTCCATGTACCTTTCAGATAGTTCATTAACACGTCTGCAAATTCTCAGGGATTACTATTTAATCTGTTTTCTCAATGAACTAGCTACTACTGTATATAAATTCTAAGCAGTCAAGAAATGGATAGCTGTTGGAACTGCTTAATGTCAGAATGGATTCATATATAAGGTGACAGAAAAAGGGAATCAAGAAAATCAGTGGTAAATTTTTATTTGATAGAGATAGGTTTAATTGTCCAATTGACTTCAAACTCCCATATAATAACATCTTTTGAACTTTATATTTCTAAGACATTAAAAAGTTGACCCTTCTTTTCTTTAATGAACAATGCGCTACTTTTGAACCCCAATAAAAATCTAGCAATTCCTCATAGATTTTTTAAAACACAATTTAAATAATATTACTGTTTATATACTCAATGTTTTATTGAATCCATTTATAGGCACGGTGTCTATAAATTTGTCATTAATGAACATTTTCTTCATCTGAATTTCTTCCTGGACATTGGCTGTCCAAATCACTGTGTTTTGAGCAATCTATCCTTCTTCAGTTTTGAACTCCTGATTCAGCCCCAATAGGATCTGTGCAATGTTACATTCGATTTACAAGTGAGAAGAACATATTAAAGCATGAGCACACAGTATTTCACAAAAAGGAACCGCAATGTGATTGCACTTTTCATTGATGCTGTATGAAAGCACGCTTGTGCTTGTGTGCATTTATGACCTGTACCAATAACAATGGCAAAAATAATAATATTAACTGAAATAATGTAACCCCCCCCCCGCCCCAAATGAAGCTGGAAGTCAGATATAGCAGAGCATAGTTCAGAAGCGACCTATGAATAATGAAACAAAAAGGAGGAATAGCCACTTTTTTTTCCTTTTATTCTCACATTAAAAAAAAAAAAATTAGGAAGTTTGTTAGCAAGTACATGTGTGAAAATGATTTAAGAGGCTACATCTTTTACCTAGGCAGCTGTCAAAGCCAAGAACAGTTTGTGAAAACTTATTCCATTCTAAATTAATCCTAAGCATTTCGAAAATAAAGCTGTTGAAAGAAAACAACATTTGAGATGCTTTTTATAATCTGGTGGCTAGAACAGGCATCTCTGTTTTATGCATATCTTCTTTGCAGTATAACTTTGTTAATCACTGATCCTAGGCTATATTTTTATGGCCTATATGATATGTGCAGTTTGTGTCTAAGGCACATTATTGGCCCTTAGTTTCCTGCACTGTAACTTCAAAAGAAACTTTTCTAAAAGATGTTGCGTAAGGCTGCTGTCTGGTTCTCCTCTGTTGGCTGATTCTGAGATCTGTTTGGAGAATGGACAATATCAAGCATTACTAAAGAGGCTGACATTCTGCCTCCTGATCTCTGAAAGCAAATCTGCCATTGTCTTGTACACAGGCAGGCTTCACATTGCTTCAGTATAGCAGCATGATTTTTAGGGGAAAACTTGGCTCATTTCCCCAACTTTGATCTAACCCACCATCATAAGAGTTGCTGCTGCCAGTCTGATACTATTATGGTTGGTCACAAAGTCAGCCTGTTTGGCATTTTCATCCACCTACTGAGTCCTTCCCAAGGACCTGGGATACGCATATCTGGTTGTTTGATGGTGTTAAAGGTATTGATATAAGCTGTTCCAAGTAAAGCTGCCTCTTGCAATTGACTGGTGGTGATTTTGTC